GGGGCTCCAGGGAGAATGAGGCCAGGCCTGGGACTTCAGGGGAAATCTCTGGGCCCCTTCACCCACACCTGCTCATCCTGTGCAGCAGAGGTTCCTTCTGAGAGAGGGAAAGAGCCCGTCCTTTAGAGCAGCGATTCTCAACCTATGGGTTGTGACCCCTTTGGGGGGCTCGAACGACCCTTTCACAGGGGCACCTAAATACATCCTGCATATCAGATATTTACATTACAATTCATAACAGTAGCAAAATTACAGTTATGAAGTAGCAATGAAATAATTTTATGGTTGGGGATCACCACAACATGAGGAACTGTATTAAAGGGTCACGGTATTAGGAAGGTTGAGAATCCCTGCTTCAGAGGCAGGCAGATCTGGTGTTGAGTTCTCTGTTCTCCCTGCCAAATCCAGGTGTGTGACCTTGGAGACATCCCTTACCCTGAATGAGCCAATGGGCCCTGCCTTCTCTTCTATTTACTACTTTGGAGGCTTTGGGAAATTCTCATGACTCCCTCAGTTTTCTCATCTATAAAATGAGTCTGAAAATGTTCCCAGCTTCATTCCTAGGTAAGTTCTAGGAAGAACACAACTCTTGCCTTGCTCACTCCTGGGTCCCCAAGTCTAGAACCGTGCCAAGCACACGTGTATACTACTGTCACAGGTTGATGCAGCCACGGCCAGGCCAGTGAGCCATGGGAAGGGACATTCTGGCAAAGGAACATGCCTGCCCACACTGGGGGGCTGGAGGCCCCAGGGTACCTCTCTGGGTGCTGCGCTCAGCACATTCAGGGGATCTATGCTGAGGAATGAGCAGAGCATGGGGTGGAAATTTCAAAGACAGAAAAATGGGCTCAAACTCCAGAGAGAGAACCAGATCTCAGGGAGGTGCCACAGGCAGGAAGGAGCCAGAGCAGGGAACTAACACCTGGGGGTGCATGACCACCATGGGGAACGGGCTGGGGTTTCCACCACCAGGATCCTGGCCTCCTGCAGCCTGAGCCAAGCAGGCCTCCTCCCAAACTCTCCTTCTGGCTCCCACAGCCTGGGAGGGAGAGAGAACTGAGTGTTTGGTTCCTGTCTTTGCAGGCTAGAGTGACAGCAGGAAAGCAGGTGAGGAGAGGAGGCTGAGCAGGCCAGCATGAGGTGCTCCCGCTGTGCCCCAGGCCAACGCAGGAGCTGCTGGCCCAAGTTATGGAGACAGGTGAATGAGGGTAGGGCCACCCCCAGACCTGCTTGACCCCAGCCTCACCCACATCCTCTTCAATTTCTCCCCAGCCAGTCACCCAGCAGTTCGTCCGGTTCTGGAATTCTGCTGTGGAGGCTAGGATACAGATGGGCTGGATGTGACTAGTGTATGTGACGGGGGTGGACAGCTTCAGAACAGCGATGTCATAGGATGATGACCCCAGATAATAGGGGCTCATATAGATATTCTCCACCTGGTAACGATTGTGGTAGGCCTGCAGGTTCCAGAAAGATGGGCTGGAAGTCAGCTCACCAAACTGGACTGTCCATGAAAAGGGATCAGCAGTCCTGGCAGGAAGGAAAGAGCAGTCAGAGGTTGAGGGTTGGCCACCTGCGGGGCCCAACACAGAAGGTGAGACTGTGGGGTTGCTACTTGCTCATCCTGGATGTCATTAGCAAGTCATTTCCTAGGCACAATAGCACCTGTAGACATGGGACAGCCCAAAGAGGCTACAACCAAAGTCCCAGAACCTGAGGATTGGGGGGGAGGTGAAGCAGGAAGATGGGGTCTTGTCAGCTCACAGAGCCTCCTAAGGATACTTGAACTGAGAGAAGTTCTCCAGCAGGACCCCCATGCAGCCCCAAGGAAGAAGAAGCAGATGCAGGTGCCCAGCACGGTGGAGCCAACACACCTTCCCTGGGAGAGCTGGGCCACAGGAGGCTCAGTGCCCAACAGGTGGCCCTCATCCCAGTCCTGCACACCTGTGGTACACACCCACCAGGGGAGGAATGAGTTTGGGTGGCATAGAGGCCCACACCTTTTTAACTCTATAACAACAACAAACAAAAAACACCAGAAAAATAAACCCAAAGTCTAGAAGAAATGTTCTGGAAGAACATTCTGGAAAATCTTGAACAGACTTTCATCCAAGAACACTAAAGGGAACTGGAGTGAGTGTAACCGGTTGTAACTAAGTGCAGCCCAGGAAAACACCAGGCCACACCCAGTAAGGGTTCAGACTGAGGACCAAGATCAGTAGCCTAGCCCTTTGGCCAACCCTACCCTGGCTACCGCATTTGACCCCATACTCACTCTTGGAAGCAGTGCGCCGCTGTGAGCACCCAGCGGCGGCTGAGCAGGCTCGCTCCGCAAGTATGGGAGTCCCACAAACGCAGGCTCCCCTGCCACGGCCAGCGCCCAAGCTTCGAGTCTTCTCCACCTATCACGCGTGGCGGGATAGTCCGTCGGCCACAGGGCCCTAGATAGGTCAGACGGACCCATGGCTTAGCTAAGGCGCAGGCCCGACCCCCCATCCCTTCCTCCCTCCCTCCCCCACCCCCATCCTCTTCCCTGCCTCCAGTCTACCTCCTCCCCGCCCCCCGCCCGGGGTACAGGGGTTCCCAGAGGATCCGCAAGCCCGCCCAGGGTCCCCATGCGCATCCTGGGGTCATATTTTGTGGAGGAAGGTGAGTGGGGGTTTTCCACGTGGTCCGCAGAGCCTGCCCCATCCCCAGGGGTCCATCAGTTACTGTTGAACACGAAATTGAGTTCTCCATCCTGGGGCAGGGAGTGGAATAGATGAGGTGTCTTCTGTGCTCTGACCCAGGGGCCCTGCGCAGGGAGGCGCGCTTCACCAACCTTACCTGATAGCACGTCCACTTCCTGCATGTCTGCGTGGAGACAAGAAGGTGAGTTCCCTCTCCGTGTCCCCCAGCCCACCGTGCTGCCCCCGCTTCCCCTTGAACTCACCCTGCTGCCCCAGAGCCCCCTGCGCCAGCAGCAGCACCAACAACAGCGTCCCGGCCAGCGCGCCCATGGCCTCCTCTCCCACAGCTTGGCGCCCCCTCTGCTTCCTCCTGCTCCGGCCGGCTGGGCGCCCCCTGGGGAGAGAGAGCCTGGGGAGCCCTGGTCGGCACTTGCCCCCCCTCCCCCCACGCACACACTCTAGGCCCGCAGGCTATCACGTACCCACAGACCTCACTGCACCCTGGCTTTAGCTTCTGAGATAAAATAGTCAAGTAAGGGCTAAGCGCCTGTGGCTCAGGCGGCTAAGGTGCCAGCCACATACACCGCAGCTGGCGGGTTCGAATCAAGCCTGGGCCGCCAAACAACAATGATGGCTGCAACCAAAAAATAGCCCGGTGTTGTGGTGGGGCGTCTGTAGTCCCGGCCACTTGGGAGGCGGAGGCAGGAGACTCGCTTGAGCCCAGGATTTGGAGGTTGCTGTGAGCTGTGATGCCACAGCACTCTACCCAGGACACAGCCCTCATAAGCATAAGGAGGGAAGAGCTCTGGTTGTCACGTCTCTGTCTTGAATAGCTGCCTTTTTATTAATTGAAAAGATAAATTCAATGAGTCTGGTCCTTGCCTCTTCCTGTACTTATGATAACTTGGGACAGGATTAGTGATTATACATCTGTAATGTACGTAGGTCACTACAAAAGTTTTGAGATGGGCTGTGTTTACTTCCAAGAAACACAATCAACAGCATGCTTTCTGATTCACCTGTGTAAGTTTCAGCTTGCTGGGCTTGTTGATGCTGCTGGGAGGGCTTCTTTTGTTTCTGTTCGTGTGTTATGCCCAGGAGCTCCTCCAAAGACCATGCCACCAGACAAATCAAAGAGGAGTCCTATTATTGAAGAGCTGGCTGGTGAATACCCCAGTGTCCCAACATAGGGTTTTTGAATGCAGCCCCGAGTTGACTGAGGCTCTGTCTTTTATAAGGCAAAACGTTTCCAGGGGGCAAACAAGAATAATTACAGAAGCAAAAGCAAACAGCAGTTAGGGGACATCATGAGAGAGTGAGGGCAAACAGCAGTTAGGGGACATCACAAGAAAGTGAGACAATTTGCAATGCTATGATCACAAGAGCACTTAGTAATTCTTCTTACAAAACAAATACAATCCCCATCGACCCATGAATGGATCAATAAATTATGGTATATGTACACCAGGGAATATTGTGCAGCATTAAAGAAAGATGGAGACTTTACCTCCTTCATGTTTACATGGATGGAGCTCAAACATATTCTTCTTACCAAAGTATCTCAAGAATGGAAGAAAAAGTATCCAGTGTACTCAGCCCTACTATGAAACTAATTTATAGCTTTCATATGAAAGGGGAAAGGAAGAGGGTGAGGATAGGTGGAGGGAGGGTAATTGGTGGGACCACACCTACAGTGCATCTTATAAGGGTATATGTGAAACTTACTAAATGTAGAATATAAATGTCTTAACACAATAACTAAGAAAATGCCATGAAGGCTATGTTAACCGGTTTGATGAAAATATTTCAAATTGTGTATAAAACCAGCACATTGTACTCCATGACTGCATTGATGTACACTGCTATGATAAAAAAAAAAATACAATCTACAATGTCCTAAGGTACTGTTGGGTGGGGGACTTGCAGGTGAGGGTCATAAACAGCATGATCCTAAAAAGCTATTATCATAAGGGCTACTATCAGTAACTGACATTACTAACAATTTTAGCTAAAGGCATTTACAGTTACACCGGGAGGGGGAGAACAAGAGAAACTAGTTTTGAAGGTAAAAAGGAGTAAATAGTAACATGGAGTTAAGCTTGTTCTGTTAACATTTCAATATTATTTACAGATGGTTTGAAGATCACTTTAACACAATCATGAAGGTTGTTTGTCACAAGGGTAGTTAGTGACTTTCTACACAATATTAATAATTTTAACAGTTCTAACCAGATACACTTAAATACCATGCAGTAGGTGGAGAGACAAGTGGAACCAGTTTTTTTAAAGCAATAAAATGTAGCAAAATAACAGAATGGAATCAGGCCCACTTTGCCTTCCCACTGATGCGCTGGGAAAGGAATTATATCAAAATGGAGTAAAGCTTGCTTCTCTTTCACCCCAATACATGTAGATTTTACATTTCTTTTCTTTTCTTTTTGTTTTGCTGTAAGCACTCCCAGCCCTCTTTCCCTTGCCCTCTACCATTCCTCCACCCTCTCTTCCAGCCCATTCCCAGGCCCCCTCCTTCTTCCTAGGGTTGCCAAGAACAGACTTCAGAACAAGGAGGCACAACCCCCCCCCCAAGTTCCCAGTGAGTAAACAATGGTAGAAGACCTACCTGAGCTATATCAATCATTGTTGCATAACTATGACCATTGTGATTTGAGATGTATCCATTGTCAACCAAGTTGTAATCCCCCTGCCCTAAGCTAAACCACCCATGTCTTGCTTCTGTACCAGTATGCTTGCTCAAAATTATAAAAAGCAACCTACCCCCTACTTTGGGGCTGACTGTCTCTCAGAGCAGCAGCCCCTTCGGCAGGTAAAATAAATTACCAATTAATTACATCCAAGTCGGGGGTCCGACGTTATGGGGGGTACAACAGTTTTTGAGTCTTCCAACAGCTTATTAGAAAGAATGTAGATATTTAAGAAAATCCCCACTGTCATGAACATAAATTGAGGTTTTTCAACCCTTTGTATAAGCTGAATAAAAAACGAAAAGAAATAAAAAATCCAATAGTGTATTAACATTTTTTCACTCATTTGCCATATTAACAGTGCAAATACAAATCTGGTCTAAATGTACAGATTCTCAAGTGACAATGTACAGCTTTCTTCATCCTCCTTGCTAAGAGATGTAAAAGCTTAAGGGCCAAACAATACCAAGTGTATAGGCTTCAAAACCCATCTAAGTTAGGGCATTTACTAGTTTTGCTAAGTTACATCTGGAACACTGACAAGTGATCGCTTAACATATAATAATGTGAAGTAAATTTTTTGAAAAATAAATTTTAATGAAACAATCCTGAAGGATAAAACAGAGGAAAAGCAGGTTACCAGTTTAAGGTGTCAGCCAATTTGTTTAGGCCACTTTTGAGTCCATGTTCTAAAAATCTAAATTTAGTTACCTTTCCCTAAGCTGAAAACTTCCTATCATGTCAGGATCTATGTTATGAAGAAAAGGAGACTTAGGTGAAACGTTTTTATTTATCACAACTGCTGTATCAATTGCCTAGGACCTCAACAGCTTCATGAAAGTCTGGGAAATGTTCATGCATAAGGTTATTGCCTTAGCTGATTAAAAGTGCCCCATAGAATGGTATATATCAACCCTTGAAGAAGACTTTAAAAAGCAAACAGGTTGAAAAATGGGTTAAAGGAGGCAAATACAGCATCTACCTTTAGAGCTATCAACTCAGGAATTGTCTCAATTATAAAATCTTGCAGAGAAGTTATTTGTCTTTCTCAAAATCTTAGTGATGACAGTATTTCCTTTTTTTTTTTTTTTTTTTGAGACAGAGCCTCAAGCTGTCACCCTGGGTAGAGTGCTGTAGCATCACAGCTCACAGCAACCTCCAACTCCTGGGCTCAAGCAAGTCTCCTGCCTCCACCTCCCAAGGAGCTGGGACTACAGGTGCCCACCACAATGGCCCACTATTTTTTGGTTGCAGCCATCATTGTTGTTTGGCGGCCGGGCTGGATTCGAACCAGCCAGCTCAGGTGTATGTGGGTGGCGCCTTACCCACTTGAGCCACAGGCACCCAGCCCACAGTATTTCTTTCTTTTTTTTTTTTTTTTTTGAGACAGAGTCTCAAGCTGTTGTCCTGGTTAGAGTGCTCTAGCGTCACAGCTCACAGCAACCTCAAATTCTTGAGCTTAAGCGATTCTCTTCCCCAACCTCCCAAGTAGCTGGGACCTACAGACACCCGCCACAATGCCCAGCTATTTTTTTGTTGCCATTGTTGTTTTAGCAGGCCCTGGCCGGGTTCCAAACCCATCAGCCTCGGTGTATGGGGCCCAGGCCATAGCTACTGAGCTACGGCCCCGATGACAATATTTCTTGCTCCAGATCTGGCATTTGTTCATCATCACTGTCTTGCAAATCATCATCTGCTCCATCTACTTCTGGTAAATCTACATCCTCATCACCACCCATGTTGTTCATCAGCTCAGAGAAAGGATCAAAATTAGACATGTCTTCATCTGAATCATCTTTCCAGTCCTTCCAATTCTCAAAGTCCACGCTAACCCAATTAAGCTTTGCCCTTTCTTTTGTTAACCCTGGCCATGACTGGCCAAATTCTCCTTTTCATTCGTAAACAACATAAAATTGACCTGTCTGTTCTTTTATGCTTGGAATCCTTGGGATCAAAACAATGAAAAAGATCAATTTTATTTAAATGTTTAAAGACAACTGAACGTAAGTTTGGATTTTTCAAAATTTACATTAACATCTTTACTGTGTTCAACACAAAATTCAGAAGACATAGTCCTTTCTATCCTACCACTTTGCAGAAGCAGGCTGCATTTTGAATGGGGCAAGGGGACGGTTGAGCAGGTGGGCAGGCTTCTCTGCTGGCTGCTCCTAAGGAGTCGACTCCTCTCTGGTGGTGACCTGGGCGTTTTCTCCCGATCATGGCCTCTTCTCACCCCACTCAGGAGAGGGCGACAGCGACTGCAGCGGCCGGATGCCCCTGGTTCCCAGAATGCACCGTGCTGAGCCGGTGTTTTGTGTTTTGTTTTTTGTTGTTGTTTTTTTTTTTTTTTGAGACAGAGTCTAAGTATGTCACCCTTGGTGGAGTTCCACGGTGTTACAGCTCACAACAACCTCCAACTCTTGGGTTTAAGCGACTCTCTTGCCTCAGCCTCCCAAGTAGCTGGGACTACAGGTGCCCACCACAACGGCCCACTGTTTTTTGGTTGTTAATTGTCATTGTTGTTTGGCAGACCCAGGCCGCTTTGGAACCCTCCAGCTCCAGTGTATGTGGCTGGGGTCCTAGCCGCTGAGCTACAGGTGGCGAGCTGATTTTACATTTCTTGATTTT